CCTCCACCGCCGCCACTACCTCCGCTCCGACCGCCACCACCGCCACCGCCACCGCCACTACCGCCACCGCCGCCACTGCCGCCGCTGCCACCACCGCCACTGCTCCCGCCGCCGCCCCCGCCTCCGCCGCCGGCCCCACTCCCACCGGCACTCCCGCCACCGCTCCCTCCAGCACCGCCTCCCCCCCCACCTCCCCCACCCCCTCCCCCCCCAGCGCCACCCCCGCCACCCTTGCCCCCCTTGCCCTTGCCGGTGCGGCGCCTCCCACCAGGAGCAGAAGCAGCGCCAGCAGACTCAGCACCAAGGAAGTCAACAGCAGCAGCAGTAGCGTAGGAGGGAGCGAGGGGAGAGGGAGAACACCCCTCAAAGATGGGGGTGCGAGGAGCGCCGCGAGCAGCACCTACAGCTACAATGCTCTTCTCGGCTGCTAGCAGCTTCTCCTCTAGGAGGGCGACAGTGAGCTCAGTGGGACAGCGAGCAAGGAAATAGTCGCGCACTGAGCTGAGGGTGTCAGGGAGACGGGTGACTATGAAGTGGAGTGTCCAGTACAGGGGAGGGGGGTTCTTAGCGCAGAACTCGGTGGGAAGGGCGGCACGCAGGCGAGCATCACTAGTGCGAAGGTGGGTGATAAGATCGGCGACTGTAGCAAAGGCGGACAGCTCAGGGAACAGGTAAGGCAGCATGAGACGGCTAAGCTCGGCTGTGGCAGGTGAGGAGTAGCGAGCAACGACAGCGTCATATAGGGCTTTAGCGGTTTTGCAGTCGCCAAAGTGCTCTAGCTCAGGTAACGGCAGGTGACTGCGAATAGCCAGGCGAGCTGCAGCGTCACGAGTCTGCCACTGTGAACGTACACTAAGCTCGGCTGTGGCAGCAGGAGCAGCGGCAGCACCAGACGCGTAGTCATAGAGGGAGATGTGGTCCGTGCTATTGCTCATAAGATACAACTGCAGGTCGTCGAGCCAGGAAGTGAACTGCACGGGACGGCCCTCAGCATCGAAGGAAAGAACGCGAATAGAGGCCATAGCTCAGGCGTGAGGGCACAGCAGAGTAGCGGCAGCAGCAGGCGAGGCGGGCAGCGCTGCAGGCGGGAAGTGCGGCGGGCGGGCTGCGAAGCGGGCAGCGGGGCGGGCGGGCGACGCGGCGAGCGGGCAGCGCGGCGGGCGGCTGCGAAGCGGGCAGCGGGCGGGCGGGCGACGCTGCAAGCGGGCAGCGGGCGGGCGGGCGACGCTGCGAGCGGGCAGCGGGCGGGCGGGCGACGCTGCGAGCGGGCAGCGAGCGAGCGGGCGACGCTGCGAAGCGGGCAGCGGGCGGGCGGGCGACGCTGCGAGCGGGCAGCAAGCGGGCGGGCGACGCTGCGAAGCAGGTAGCGGGCGGGCGGGCGGCGCTGCGAGCGGGCAGCGAAGCGGGCGGGCCGCGAAGCGGGCGGGCCGCGAAGCGGGCAGCGAGCGGGCGGGCGGGCTGCGAAGCGGGCAGCGGGGCGAGCGGGCTGCGAAGCGGGCAGCGGGGCGAGCGGGCGACGCTGCGAGCAGGCAGCGCGGCGGGCGAGGGGCGAGCGGGCAGCGTGGCGGACGGGCGACGCTGCGAGCGGGCGGCTCGGCGGGCGGGCGACGCTGCGAGGGGCGCGCGAGGGCGCTAGCGAGGGGCGCGCGAGGGCGCTAGCAAGGGGCGCGCGAGGGCGCTAATGAGGGGCGCGCGAGGGCGCTAACGAGGGTGCGCGAGGGCGCTAACGAGGGGCGCGCAAGGGCGCTAACGAGGGGCGCGCGAGGGCGCTAACGAGGGCGCACGAGGGCGCTACGAGGCTAGGGCACGGGGTAGCGTGGTAACCGCATGCGAGCGGTGGTGGGCCCTAAAAAAACGGTCGGTAGGTCCTAGGGACCTCCTGCTCTGAATACCATATCAGAATAACTAGGCAAGAATGAATGAACTAGCAGAAGTTTGGGTACAAATATGAAACCCTAGTTGGGGTTGTACCCCATATTGGCTACCCCACTACAGCCTACCAACATATAACACATTACAATTTAACAGTGATCGGTTTTTGCATCGATCCGCCAAGTGCCCAAAATTTCTGCAGATTTTGCAGTAGAGGCGCCGTGGCTTTCGCTCTTCGGTGTTGTCGGCGTAGAAGGCGAGCCGTTCGCGTTCTCGTCGCGGCGCTGGTCGCTGCTGATCCATATCCCTCTGTTCGACGAGAAGGGCGGCGCAAAGGGCGGCCTCCGAGATGACCCCCTGCTGTCGGAGAAGCGCCTTGCAGGGCCGCCACTCTGGGCCGAGCCCTTGAAGCACAATGTTGACGAAGATTTCCTCTGAAATCGTGCTTCCCAACTTCACGATTTGATCGCGAAGGCTCAGACAGCGGTTGAGGTAGTTGTTGACTTTCTCCCCTGCGGTCATCTTGGTTTCCAGGAGTTCCTGGAGTAGTCGGCTCGAAGAGACGGAGTCCTTGGGCTGGTAGACTCCCGTCAGGTGCCTCCAGGCGTTAAGGGCTGGAGCAGCTGTGGTTTTGTATGAACGAATGTTAAGCAGGAGCACCCCGTACGCCATTAGTGACTCGTTGTAATATCGCGCCTTGGCGTCGTCGGTGTCCTCAGCAGGCTCCGCGTAGCTCCCGTCGAAGTAGTGGAAGATCTGGGCGTTCTGAAGCAGGAGCTCCAGCTCGAAGCTCCAGGTGTAAAAGTCTCTGCCGTCAAAACAGGTACTTGTCTTTATTTTTGATATGCTGAGAAACCTTGATTGAGCAGAGAGAATTGCCTCTTCACTGGGACGGGGAGTCTTGGGGGTTGAGCCATTGGTGTCGAGGGAGAAAGTTTGCGGAGTGGTGTTCTGGCCAGTTGGGGCCGGTTGAGATGGTTGCGAGGATGTTCCCGCATCGCCATTCCGCAATGTTTGGAGCCCTTGCTCCAAGCTGGTGAGTCGCTGAAGAAGTTGTGCGAGAACTTCGGAGTTGATTGTCGTCGTGTTCTCGCTTGTCGCAGCCGGATTGGGTTGCGCTTCAGCCGTCAGATTAGTTTGACCACCAGATCCTCCGGCCATCTTCACTCGTGAGCGTGTGCCGGACGCCACTTTCCGAATGTCGCAATTTTCGGGAGTGGCAGTGCGAAGGATTCCTGAGCCGCTCTCATACCATGCTGCGATCAGAAATTGATCGTAGCCCAGGATCTACCCAGGAAGGTTCGCACGCAGTGAGATAGTTGGTGGGCCCTTGACCTCAATAGCAGAGTGAATGTAAATGCTTGAGATAATAAAACATGCAAACAAGATGATATAAATAAGAGTACAGGGGAATACGAAACGACCTAACTAGCCATGTACTCTAAGGGGTACATTCCCTTATTCAAATTCACTCCCAACCGTGCGGCGCGCACAGTTTCGTAACTGTTCCCGCAAAAACCATCCTGCCTGCTGCTGCCCGATGCCGTCTGCTCCGACGGTCCAGATGCGTCCCAACTGTCCGTCGCTTCGAGTCAATTCCAACCGTCTGACGCTTCGCGTTCATTCTCGTTACTGCGTGCTTCTTTTGCTGCGGTGAGGAGTGCACAGTAATATTGAATATTACTATTCGTAACTATGAAGAGGTTGCTGGAGGTTACGCGAAAGTCAAAGGTCAGCGACCTTTGACCTGACAAGTGCAGCGCGACAGCAAGGACACACAACTGACTCGTTACAGAGCAGTTGCCCGAGTCGTCACTGTATCGAACTGCAACAGCAACAGTAAAGTAGTTACAACCGTATCTTTTCGTATTCCTTGTACTATTATATAATCTTGTATCTCTTTGCTTTAATCAATCAACTTTGCCCTCACATATCAGCGCAAGCAGGGCTCAGGTTTGGTTTTGGCCTACTCATGATTGGCAGTGTAGCTTTTTCAAAAACCCTTATGGGCAGTGTGTACTTTTCCATTACACTGATAGAGCAGTGTAACATCAGGTTTTGAAATTTTTACCCTGCATCATCAGTGTGGTTTTATTTCAAGCACTGACCATGTGTAAATTAGGTGTGTATGACAGGTGGCGAGAAAGTTATCTGCCTCCCAGGTCCCCTGCCCCCTCGATCGATTGTTTGTGAGGTGCGGGGGGGAAGGGGAGGACTTACGAAATTGGCGACAATTTCGCCTCTCCTTCCCCCTCGATCGATTGTTTGTGAGGGGCGGGGGGGAAGGGGAGGACTTACGAAATTGGCGACAATTTCGCCTCCCCTTCCCCATCGATCGATTGTTTGTGAGGGGCGGGGGGGGAAGGGGAGGACTTACGAAATTGGCGAGAATTTCGCCTCCCCTTCCCCTCGACCGATTGTTTGTGGGGAAGGGGGGAGGGGGGGGGGGGCGGGTGGGGGGGGGGAGGGGGGGGGTGGGTGTGGGGGTCCGTGTACGCTCTTCAGTGTAATCCTCGCTAAGGGAAACTTTACCCCAAGGCATCAGTGTGGCCTACATCGATACACTTACTGATCAGTGTAACACTAACTCATAAAAAAATTACCCCAGCACATCAGTGTAGACCCAAAATTTCACCCTTGTAATCAGTGTAGAAGGGTAAATTACACTGATAACCTGAGCCGCAAGGTGGTTCAATATCTTCATTGAAGCTTCCGCTACTACAACATTGTTCTACCCAAAGTTCACCCTTGCAAAGATCCTAAGGGCTCATTCTCAGCCCAACAATCCCTTCCCCATGTTGATGGGCCTCTGCAACTTCTACCTGGCATGGCAACCTTCAACACATCCGTCATACGGTAGTACACATTCCTGCCAACACGCATCTTCGATTTTCGCGTCACAGTCGTACGTACCACTCTGTACCGAATCGAACCCTAGTTCAATCTTTGATCGTTGTATATATACATATATAATGTTCAAGACTTGGGTGTCCTTTGGTACAGAGTGGTACCTTTGATTGTGATGTGAAAATCAAAGATGTGCCTTGGCAGGAATGTGCCGTAACTCGCACCTGAGGTGTCCACAACTCCATGGACTCACTGGAACCAAAGCTTTGCTCTTCCTTAACTTAACCCACTCGAACCTCAATCGCCCTTCCCCCTCCCCTTTCCTCCACCTCTTCCTCTTGCCCCTGCAGCCCCAACACCGCCCCTGTGTGTGCATCCAATCTCTCTTCCAGGGCAAGGTAGACATAGAGAGCAGGCACGGCGGCGAGCAGGGAGAGAGAGAGAGTGGTGAGTGCGGTGGAGAGAACGGAGGAGAGGAAGAGGCGCGTGAAGGAGGCAGCAACGACCCATGCATGCGAGGCAGACAGCGGGGAGGGAGTGAGCACGAACGCCTGGTGTATGGGGATGCGGGACAGTTGTGAGATGCAGAGGTTGGGGTGGAGGGGAAGAGCGGGGGAGGGGGGAAAATCAGCCGAAGAAAGGTTTAAAGGGGGGGGGGAGAAGGGGCAAATGGGGGAAGATATGGAAGAGGAGGATGGGACGAGGAGTGAGCAACCTAGAAGAGAAAAGAGCATGCAAGTCGCACACTAGACCAGGCCCTTCAGATCAGCCGTACTGAAACATGCTGGAGATCAACACAAGCACACTCCCTCCCCATACCCACACTCCCACCTACCCCACCCCTCACCCCATCCCCCACAAACCCATACCCCTCGCCCTCTTACCTTGCACTCTCTCCCTCACCACACCACCCTACCCATGTGTATACACCCGCGCACGCACCAGCAGGCGCAGCAGAGGTCGGGCGATGGAGCCAAGGGCCACAAGGAGGAGGCGAGCGCAGACAAAGACGGCGAGTGAGGGCAGCAGGTGGGCGGGCAGCAGGTGCAGCGCAGTGGCAAGAGAAGCACACACGCCCTTGCCCGTGATAGCTGCCACTGGCACCACGAACCTGGGGAGGTTGGGGTAGAGCGGCAGTGCGGCACATACATGGAATGTTTATAGACCGGTGCGTGTTGCACGTGGATGAGAGCACGGGAGCGCGTCTGGCAGACTGGACTTGGATAGTTGAGCGAGTGCGATGAGGAGAGAATCCACAGCCCATGCCCCACACGCGAGCATTCATCAAAGCGCCGATGCATGCGCAAATGTGGGTGGGTGCATGGATTAGCGAGAATGACAGGGGTGGGTGGGGGAGAGGAGGCACAGCCTAGAGGAAGTGAGTGAACACAACTGACCAGGTGAGCATGTGCAGGAGCACCACTTGCAGCACAGTGAGCAGCAGAGCAGCAGAACCCGTGAGCAGCCCCGGCACCTCCAAGTCGGCAAACACATACACCGCCAGCCAGGTGTTGAGTGCCAAGTAGAGTATGTACGAGAGGATGATCAGCAGCGCCACCGCTGCTGCCGTGCCCAGGGAGCGTGTGAGGACGAGCCTGGGAGGAGAGATCGGGACGAGGGGTCGCGGGGGTTAGGTGGCCGGAGGGAGCATTCAATGAAAGGAAAAAACAAGGAGTTCCAGCAAGGAAGGAACTATGCCTCTTCAGTACCGGGATGGAGGCGGGGCAAGAGGGGATATGAAGAAAACAGGGAGGTGGTGGAGCAAGCATGCACAGCACACGGACGGACCTGAGTGCCTGGGCCAGCAGAGACAGTTGGCGACGTAGCTGTGAGAACTGCGGCTGCGGGGTGATGCCAGCCTGGAAGGACTCCCCAGGCGCATGCACTGGCCAGACCGCATGTGTGGGGACCGTTGCCCCTGCTGAATGAAACCCTGCACCCGCGATTGCAAGCTTGGCAGCAGCAGCACCATTTTCAGCCGAACCTTCCACAGTGTGCGCTCCATGGTGGATGGCGTGCCTGTGGTCCCCCTCCTCTGCGCTCACACCGTGGCCCATGAGAGCAGCGACTAGCAGGGACATGAGCACGGACGAGGCAAGGAAGGCCCACAACACCAGCAGCACGCAGAGCAGCAGCAGCGGCGGGTTGGCGAGCTGCGAGACGAAAAGAAGCAGCCACGCTTCACACACTCGTGGCGTGTCGCCCTCCCCCCATGACACCGAGCACACGATGATCACCTTCCTCATGACGGCAGCGAATGGTGCTGTAACGAGGACTTGGAGGAGCAGCAGGAGGAGGAAGAAGTAAAGGATGGATTGGGAGTGGGAGAGGAGGAGGGAAGCGGTGCGGTGCAGGAGGGAGAGGGAGAGGCGTTTGAGTCGACCGGAGAGGAGGAGGAGGAGCACGGCTAGGCTGAGGAGGAAGAAGAGGAAGGCGAAGAGCACTATGAAGTGGTTGGTATCGAGGGCTAGGAGGGGCGGCGACCCGGATGAAGAGGCGAGAGCGGGCGTGGGGGGAAACGGGGAGGTGAGGAATGCAGGCTCGTTGGGAGAGAGAGATGGCGAGAACAGCGGGGCGAGATAGTCAAAGAGGGGAAGCGACGCGAGGTGGCTGGGAGTGAGCAGCCATGGGCTGCTGCCGCTGCTGGCGGTGAGGGAGGGAATGAGAGCGGCGGCAGCGGTGTGGACCACGGAAGATACTCCGTCCGTCATCAGCGCTCGAGCTGCTGCTACTGCTGCCGCAGTGGCCGTGCTGATAGCAGTAGGGGCGTGCGATGAAGCGGCGGCGCCGGAAGCGGCAGCAGCGATTCGGGGGAAGAGGAGAATCAGAAGCGCGCACAGGAAGAAGAGGAGGGCGTGGAGCGCGAGGAGCGCGGGGAGAAGCATGGTGAGGCTGTTGCGCCGCCTAACGTACAGCAACGGGACCCACACGAGCGGCGCCGCGGCGACGACGGCCACGCCGATTCGCGCGTACGAGATGGCGACGAGGGACGTCGACGGGCCGGGGGACGCGCGCAGGGCAGGGAGGAGCAAGCGGAACAAGCGGAGGAGCGCGAGAGACGCGAGGAGGAGGAAGGCTATGCGCCACGGCCGGTCCCGCCATGACCGCGAGTCGCGCGAGAGAGGCACGAATGGCGCGGATGGAGAGGATTCGAGGGTAACAGGTGGGCAAGGTTGCGCCGGGGTAGGTTGCAGAAGAGGTGCGGACAACCTGGAGGAGGTAGCGGTGCTGCTAGGACGAGCACCGCGGCAGGAATCCATGGCGAAAGACTCGTCAGAAGCCGTGTCGCTGGGTAACAGCGTCGAAATACTGCGGCGAAAAACAAAGCAAAAACGAGGGAGCGTGGCAGGGGAACCAGTTTTGGGGAATGAACCAGCCCAACAGGTTTGAGAGAAATGTGAGTGGAGGTGGCGGAAATGCTGGGCAGGCGCGCATGACCGCGACGCGTGGTAACGGGTCACATCTTTCACGTGGAGAGGAGAACATGACCCTGATTCGAAATCCCGCGCAAACCCCCCCCTTGCGAAACAGCGCAGACGACATAAACGAGGTCGTGATGAGGGCAGTAACGGTTTCCGTAGGTCACGACAGCCTTTTCGCTTGATTTATCATAAGGTACTCGAGAACTAAATAAATTCTGATCCACTAACACCACCCCGTATTCCTGACATACCGGGATTTTATTATAGTCCAGCCTAATGTAACTGTACAGCTAGCTCGTGCATTGCTTTACACGTGCGATCTAGATACAACACCACATAACAAGGCCAGTCAAAGAAAGAATAGGGGAACAATGAGTGAGGTAGCAAGCACAGGCTTGTTGAATTCCTTGAGAGCTTCTTTGAGGGAGTTCCTGCCCTCAGCAATGGCAGCGAAGGGCAGGAAGGAGGTCTCCTTGAAGAACTGGTCGGGCAGCAGGCCGTGCTGGCGCATGTCCTGGTGGGGGCAGCCCAGCAGCCATATGAGCGGGTACCCCGCCCAGTACACCATGTCACCTGGGACCACGCACACACGTGTGGAGGGCGGACACGCATGCACAGGGCACACAGGTACGTGGTGAGGTGTGGCACGGGAGTAACGGGGCTCGCATGTAGTGCTCTTTGGCGCAAGATTCAAAGCACGGTGAGTAGGGAGAGCCTGCGACGACCACAGCTAAGGTATGCTGTCATGGCGCAGAACGAAGGGGTGGACACCAAAAAAAGGGGTGGGGGAGAGGGGAGTAAGATCGCAAGGATAAGTTGAACTATTTTCTTATATATTTGGGGTGCAAGGCAGACTCAGAATTGGGAGCGATGCCTTCTATTGTTCGGGAAAAAGAGGCATGGTGCAAAAGGGAGGTGGGAGCAAGGTGCAACACATAGCAATTGGATCTGGAAGCTTTGACAGAGGGAGGAACTGGTGGACACGGAGGGGGGTATGCGGCCTGGAATGGGGGGAGGGTGTTGTGTGGCCTGAAATGGGGGGGAGGGGGTTGTGTGGCCTGGAACGGGGGGGAGGGGTTATGAGCGAGGAGAGATTACTCACTGGTGCTTCTACACAACAGCCATCTGGCAAGAGTGGGACGAGAAGCGTGGCAGGGGCACATGGGGAAACGATGGAGAAGGTGTAGCTAGCGGTGCAGGGGAGGGAACTGACCAGCGAAGGGGCGAGTGAGCATGTTGCCGGCACCGAGCAGGGCGAGGGAGGTGAAGAGCGCATGGCGTGTGATGCGGTACACGCCCCTCACCGCCACCTCGCTGCCCTGCTGCTCCCCCGCCTACGGACACGGTGGGGTGAGATTTGGGGGGAACGGCGACGAAGGAGGAGCTCTTTGTGAGCGGGTTCTTCTTGCCATCATGCGTGCGTACAATAGGCTGCAGGAAGCTAGCTTGGTTTACTAATGCATGACTCCCACATGGATTTGAGGAGGAGATGTGTGACGGCACTGCCTGTCTGCCTCCCTGACTAAACTACACCCACGTACTGCATGCTGTCACCTCTCCCCCATTCCCAGCACCAGCAGAAGCAGTGAGGACGTAGCTCCGTACATTTACTACACGTGGCGAAACGAAATGGATGCAAGAGAACGTGCAGGGGACCCACGACCTCACCACGCCCTGATGGCAACGCATCAATCCCACCACAAGCCCCACCCACCCACCCACCCCCCCCACCCTGGGCGCACCTCGCCGTGCTGCCCTTGCGTGCTGGTCCGCATCCGCGGCGTGCATGGCGCGATCCATGATGGGGTTGGGCGTCGAAATCGCCTGCCCGTACATCACGGCCGCCGCCACCTTCAGCGCCACGCCGCCCGCGCGCGCCGCCTTGTTGCCCTCCACCAGCGCCGTCCACCCGGGGACCACGCCGTGCCCGCGCGCGTACCTGCATGGGGTGCGCGGGGAGTGGTCGGGGGTTGGGGAGAGGCGGAGAGGAAGAGAGGAAGAAATGCGGGGGCTGTTTAACGGCTGCGGGGTTTACACATAGGTTGAGCGTCCGCTGCGGCGCAATAACATCCTCGCTTCCACCCACTAGGTAGCGAGGTATACTTGTGATGGGTCCGGGAGGACGGGGGGGATGGAGTGCTGCTCGGTGGTACGTGGGATCACAGGAAGCGTACGGCGGTGGCGATGCCAGTGATGGCGCTGGCGGAAGCGGCGGCGGCGGCGGCGGCGGCGGTGACGGCGGCGGCGGCGACGGCGGTGGTGGAGATCCCAAGGGAAAGCCATGGGGATAATTTCCTCTTCCCACTTCGGGGGAGTCGTGTTTGGTTCGTACGCGGCTCAGGCGCGAGAGCAGCGTGGAGGCGGGGGTTGGGAGCGCACCTGATGTAGAGGAACGTGGTGGGCGCGAAGGTGGCCAAGGACACGGCGGAGTAGAGCCCGCGGAACTTGCCCTCGTCGCCCAGCTGCTGAATCAGCGCCTCGCGCACGGGCGGGTGCGACATCGCCAGGTGCGTCCCCGTGAATGCCGCCCACCCCGCCGCGACGTACTTAATCGCCGCCGCGCCGCCCAATTTAGAAGCTGCAGCTGGCCCCCCTGTCATGATGATGTCGCGCGGTTAGGTGAGCCGAGCTAACAACGGGAACAGACTCGCGATGAGCGGAGAGGGCAGAGTGACACTGCAGACTGGTAGCTCCCCGCGTTCGACCATGTGAGGAGGAATGGGCAAGCAGACTTGCCTTCTACTCTGTGGCGTGCGGACCGACGGAACCAATCGACGAGCGGTTGGGATAAAAATCGGCATTTTCGCGACACTTTCGCACATTCCAGCTGTTAGGATAAATATCCTGGCGAAGCCTGCTGATTGGTTGCAAACGACGGCCACAGATTCGCACCCCCCCGCCTTGAGCATGTGGCCTGTGGGAGGGGTAGGGAGGAGGGCATAAACGTGTCGTGTTCCGTCCCCCGTCAGCACTCGAGCGCACTATGTGCCTGGTTACGGGGTATTTACTGTTCAAATAGTTAACACCCCTAATGGAGTACACTATACCCGTACACCTTCGCAAGTCCAGGCTCGGTCCAATGACCTCGCTTCCCGAACTTACGCCGTTTCGCCTTCGGGCTTGACAAACCCGAACCAGCACCCAACCTCACAGAACCTAACAAGCTAGCCATGTCATTTGCTAGGCTTTATTATTAGTTGTAATCTAACTTAGAAAATGGATTATGCGCACTCTCTTCATATTTTATGGCAGGTGAGGTCGATACGACAATAAGGAGGTTTTTTGTTCAATTCCGCGTGATCGAACTTGGTGGTCTACCACACGCATACTTCCGTTTCTTCCCCTCCCCATCAAATTTTCGTCTGCTCGGCCCCAAGCGCGACGATTGCCACAGCCCTTTCCCTAAACGCGCCAGTCACCCACCCCTCAAATCCTCTCCGCCAACCCTCGCTGCTGCTCCCAGCCCTGCGCTGCATCTGTGCTGCTTGCCTTCACCATCACCTTTCTGCTCGGCTCTGCCACACTCATCCCCTCGTTCATCTCAACTGAGTAGCCATGGTGAGTTCGGATGATGCTTATGGCGTACGTAGTCCGCTTTCAAGGCAATCGCGTTCAATGAGCGCCGAGTGAGCTTGCTACGAGTGCTCTCATACACGTCGCAAGCAACACGGGATTCGTTTAGCTAATTGATGGGTCGTCCTTATATCTTGAATCTCACGCGTAGCTCCATTTGCCACGTTTCAGCTGCTGCAGCCTTTCAAGGATTCTTGAACCGGGCGCTGTCAGATGGGCCGTTTCACCTCCTAGTTTGCTAGGTGCAGGAGAGGAGAAAGTTGCCGTTCTCTGAATTCGACTACCCAGCGTCGTCTTTTTCCGCGTGCTCGCATGTCAACTTGCAGCTCTGTGTATCGTGGCGACCTCGTCGCTCGGGGAAGCACGGGCAGCAGCTCAGGCTCAACTACTCGTTATCGTTGGTGTTCATTAGGCCGTAAACGCCCATATAGTTGTTGGGTCGCAGTGGTGCTAGTTGTCGGAACGAGACACCCGCGAGAGCCTGCCCTTGCCCGTCTCGCATCACGCCTAGCTCTGGTTAATGCAGTATAGGCGTCGTCACTCGTGCTGCGCGCTGTTTCCCTTCTCATAGTCCCACGCGCGTCCCTCCAACCCTATCCCAGCACCGAGACTTGATTCCACAGTGTGTTTCCGCGGCCTCCATCTTCCGTCTTCTACCCCAGCTATCCATCACCTTGCCCTTCTTCTTCCCCATTCCTCTTGCCGGCTCTGCCTCATCTCGTTCCCCATGTCGCCCGCGCCTCTCGCACGCGTGTGGGTGCGCGCGCGTGGCAGGTGAACGTGCCGAAGACGAAGAAGACGTACTGCGGCGGCAAGTGCAAGAAGCACACCACGCACAAGGTCACGCAGTACAAGAAGGGCAAGGACAGCGTCTACGCGCAAGGTGCTCTCGCCCGCCCTCGTCTCTCACCCGCCTCCGCTTGCTTGCCCCCCTCCCCCTTCCGTCCCTCTCATCTGTCCACTTGCCCCCGCTCTCATTGCCTCTCTCGCCTTGGTTGTCGCCACAACAGCTCGTCACTCCACTTCCTCTGTTCGTAACTCTTTTCCAATTCTTCCACTCCCCTAACCTTCTATGCCTCCCATCCTCCTCCCTTTTCCACATCCCCTTCCCCTCCCACGTTCCCTCCCTCCCGCCCCATCGCCTTCCTCTTCCCCCACTTCCTTCACCTCCCCCTCTCTTTCCTCCACCTCCCCACACCCCCCAAACCCCCCCCCCCCCGCTCTCCCCTTTCTTCCCCTTTTCTATTCGCCTCCCGTCGCTCGTCCCCCTCCCCGCTGTCCACGTGCGGCGCAGGAAAGCGGCGGTACGACCGCAAGCAGTCGGGCTATGGAGGGCAGACGAAGCCCGTCTTCCACAAGAAGGTGCGCGGCCCGCGCTCGCACTCACGCCGGGACCCGAGGGGATGCGAGGATTCGTTGATGGGAGGGAGAGTGCGAGGGAAAGCTGAGGGAGAGGAAGGGGAAAGAGGGGGAGCGAGAGGAAAGGAGAGAAGTGGAGAAGGGAAAGGAGAGGGATTGGGAGGGGGAGAGGAATCGCAGAGGGAGGGAGAGGAGGGTCGGGAGGGTGAGGGAGTTGGGAAATGGAGAGGGAGGGGGAGGGGAAGAGGGGAGGGAGAGGGAAACGGAAGGGGAGCAGGTAGTGGATGCGTGCGTGAATGTGCTTGGAATATTCCGATTATGGAGTACGCTTTTGCAAGTCGTGCTTTTCTGATGTTCTCTTGCTCTGCACTCCCTCGCCCCTTTCCGTCGCCTTCCTCTCAATCTCACGCTTCCCTCCTCCCTGGTCCCTCCCTTCAACCTTCCCTTACCCCGGTGCCTGCTCTTCACGTCCCCGTTTTTGCGTGCCCCGCTTTTGGTACGTGCAGGCGAAGACGACGAAGAAGATCGTGTTGAGGCTGCAGTGCCAGTCGTGCAAGCACATGCACCAAACGCCCATCAAGGTGAGCGCCTGCTCGCAGTACTGTGGGAGCGGGCGGGAAGAGTGGGTGTGGGGGAGTGAGGAGGAGGTGTGGGGTGGCGGGTAGAGGGGGGGCGGAGGAGCGTGGTGGTGCAGGGCTATTGGGGCCAGCGCTAGCATGTTGCAGTTGGTTGGTTGGTGGGGTTCACTATGTTTGATCCCAATGGCGCCTCCATTTCCTCTCAGTTTCGTGAGGTGAAGGCTATCACTTACCTGTGATCTTCCTGTCTGTCATCCTCATCTACCCCAACCACCCCTATCCACCTTTCTTTCTCTCTTTCCCTCTCTCTACCCCCTTTCCCCCCCCTCCTCGCCCATGTGTGCCTGTCTGCATGCAGCGTTGCAAGCATTTCGAGATTGGCGGAGACAAGAAGGGCAAGAGCACATCTCTTTTCTAAGCCACTGTCTTTCTTGTTGGTCCAGCTGTGTGAATTTACTTGCTAGTGCCATGCCAACCCCACAACTTGTGTGCCAGCCGTCTCCAGTCCCCTTGCATCCTCCGCTCCACTCGTGGGCCTCGCCTGCGTCATCCCACGACGTGCAGCTTAATCAATCCGTCATGCAGCTCATTGCAGGCAGTGTCCACCATCCATGCCACCATAGAGCTCTCATCTGCCCCTACACAGACATCGCCATTCATCTCCCACCATGTGCAGCGATTAGTTAGGGCATGGCGTGAATATGAAATCCAACACAAGAGGCTCTACTCTCGGCAACCTTAGTTTCAGCTGCCATGCTGGCTCAACCGTTATCAAGTGCTGATTGCATTGTGATGACGTCGTGGTATACACTGGGAACCTACGATCAGCCAAACTGAAGTTCAAGCATTAACGACTGGTACATTGTGAACAAATGGCATCTGGGAACCTAATATGGTGTATGGCATCTCATGCCAACAAATGGCAGGCTGATGACCCACCCATCAGACACCCGAGACAACTGCCTTCTCTTCCATGGCGCCATTGCTGCTTGCACTGACAGCCTGATTCTTGTCTCCTTTTTCTGCCTTAATAGCTGCCCCTTCTGGTTCAGCACCTGGCACCACCCGCTTCCAGAACCAATGTCTCTGCCACACGCCCGCCATCTCCTCGATGGGCACGCCCTTGGTCTCGGGCAGGAAGAGCATCACACAGACAGTCATCACCACCACCCACGCTGCAAAAAAGAGGAAGATTCCAAACCTGCGCACAGCGGCAAACATAGCCCATCAGCCCATCGTCCTCACATGCTCAAAATCCGTGTACCCCGTGCGAGGTGGAGCGCGACTCACTTGAAGTGGCAGAGCATGGAGAGGAAGGCCTGGCCGACGGCGAAGGTGAAGATGAAGTTGACGGCCACCGTGATGCTCTGCCCCGCCGACCGCGTCTCCAGCGGCTGGATCTCCGACGGCACGAGCCACCCCAGCGGCCCCCACGACCACGCGAAGCCCGCCACGTACACGCAGATCACCACCACCACGGCCGTCGCGTACCCGCTCGACAGGCTGCCCGTCCCGCTCGCGTACGTCGTGCCCAGCACCACGCCGATCGCCACCTGCACGACACACGCGCACAGAGCGTCAGAATAGCGCAACTGCGAGTAACCTTTGCGTGTGACACTTGGACTGCGCGCGTTGCGTGCGGGGTACAAGCAGCACCTGCGCGAGGAGCATCTGCACGCCGCCGACGAGGAAGAGCGACTTGCGGCCGAAGCGGTCGACGGTGAGGATGGACACGAGCGTCGCCACGACGTTGACGGCGCCCGTGATGACCGTGGTGAGCAGCGACGCGCTGTCGCCGAAGCCGAGCGACTGGAAGAGCGGCGTGACGTAGAACATGATGGCGTTGATGCCCGTCAGCTGCTGGAACACGGGGATCCTGCCGTCGCGCCATCGCGCCACAAGGTCAGTCATATCGTCCAACTTTGAATTGGTGGGTTGAACGAGCGCAGTCAACTTACAAGATCGCCCACGTGAGCTCGGGCCGGTATTTCCGGCGGAAGATGGCGAAGAAAGGGGCCTTGACCGCCTTGGATGCGTTGCACGCGCGTTGAATCTCGTCGAACTCCTCCTGCAAAACACATCACGTTAGATCATCTAACGAGAGTATAATACTCCGTGCCAACAACGACATTGAGCTAGCTCTTCGAAGATATCCGCGGCACGGCGCCCACCTGCACATCCACTTCAACGCCGCGAATCCGCTGCAGCACCTGGCGGCCGCGGGTTGCATGGCCGCGCTCCACGAGACTGTTGGGCGTGTCCGGGAGGAACAAGCCTCCCGCCGTCAACACGGCAGCAGGCACGGCGGCGAGCGCGAGCGAGAGGCGCCAACCCCAGGGGTGGAGGTGCGCCGTGCCGTAGTTGATGAGCTGCCCGCCCACAATGCCCAGCGTCGTCGCCATCTGAAACATCATGTTCAGCGCGCCGCGCAGCTGCGCCGGCGCCATTTCCGAGAGATACAGAGGCACGGCCTGCGCAGAGACGACGGAAGGGGTTAGCATGTGATGAGGTGATTGCGCTGATGCACATGAGCGCCTCTGGCACCTGGTTGGCGGAGCCGACTCCCAGCCCGAGCAGCACTCGACCGAGCACAAGCATCTCGATGTTGACGGCCGACCCCGTGAGCGCGGCGCCGAGCAGGAAGAAGATGCCGCCCACCAGCATCGTGCGCACTCTGCCGAAGCGCGACGTGGTGACGGACGCGATGAGCCCGCCGAAGATGCCGGCGATGAAGAGCGAGGACGTGAAGAGCTGCAGCAGCTGCGAGTCGAACTTGCACCACGAGTTCTCGTGCGCCGACAGCTTCTTGCTCAGCACCGCGGGGAAGAACGCCTCCAGGAAGCCATCCATGTTGGTCACTCCCCCTGGAACAGCACGTCCGGGGTCCGAGTTCGTTAGAATGTAGCATGGGTGCACCTGAGTTGGAGGTGAGTACTGGCCGATAGCGCACCTGTGATGCCGATGTCATAGCCGAACAGCAACCCGCCGCTCGCCGCCACGAGGCTGGAGAGGATGACGTACGCCGTCACTCTCCCGTTGAACTGGTGCGAGCCTGGCGCCACCGGAACCATGCCGCCTCCTGCCATTGTTACAGCACTTGTAGAAGTTTCGCTTTCGAATCTTGAATGATCTTGAGTTCCGGTTTCTCTTGATAAAGTCCACTGACTGACGAGAAGCGGTGAATTTATTCAGTGACCGTCAAAGGAGACGCCGCAGGAGTGGGCAGGGGTGGTGGCGAGAGCGTGATTGTTCGCGTCGCCGTGTTGCCTTGCCCCTCGAGCATTGTCCCCTTGAGGGAGCGGTGACACCCTCGATCAGATATTTCACGTGCGGTTCGCATGTAGGCTCGAGGGATCGCGAGCATTGGGAATTGGACAAGCCCGAATTCTATTCGTGACAATAACTGCGTCGGTAAACAAATTAGAGGTGAAACGCATACACTTTACTGGGTGTTACCATCTTGTGTATCCAAGACTGGTGGTTGCAAAGAATGAAACGTGGATGTTCATACAGATTTACATAACGAATTAAACCACTACTTATGAGCACGATTGTTTATTAAAATCCTATGTTACAAACAGATCATTGACCCGTCACATCCTTCCCACACCCCTCCCTCTTACGGTAACTGTACAAAGCTATGATACACGCCAGCGCCAGCATGGCGAGAGCGACCCCAAACAGAATAAACGCCACCCACTCCAATTGCACCTTGCTCTTGGCTCCATAGCAGCCTTGCGGGCTGGAGGAGAGGTCTTGGAAGAGGTCAACGAGGAATTGACACGTGGCAAGGTCGTACATGTCCGGCACCAGGTCAGCCACACTTGCCGTGGCAGCCGCAGCATCGGCAAGCAGGTAATAGGAGGAGTTGGGGATGGGCGTGCCTCGCCGCACACAGATCACAGGGTTGTCAGACTCGCAGTGGTACGCGGCATAGTCCTGTGGAGAGGGGTAGGGGACATGGACAGAGGGGGGTTGGGGAACTCAGCCAGGTGGAGACGAGGCAGCAGGTGAGCATAACACGTGATTGGTTGATACCTTGCACACCAGCACAGGTGGTCCACTCCTATCCCCGCATCCCACACGAGCAGTGCTGTGCTGCCATTGTGTGACCACGAGGTGTAGTGCAGTGCAGTGTTGTGTGATGACAATGCGGACGTGAGGATAAGAATGCTCTCACAACAGCCCCCACTCCCACCAACACACACTTCAGGATCAAATTTGGTGTCACCTGTTCAAAGGAACGCACAGAGCCGTATCCGGCAGGGCACAGAGCAGGAGCGAGGTTGCTGCTCTCGTTGAACACCGGGCACAGCAGTGGAATCACACGGTCCCCATCATTGCTGCTGCTGCTGTTGCTGCCAGGGCTAAAGGCGGTGCTGCTCTGCTCTGTGCGTGCCACAGCGTCAGGCACAGCAGCTTCACCATTCCCTCCTACTGAACCCGTCCCCGCAACGCTGCTGCTAACCATTCCCATGCTCGACCCGCGCCCTCTGAGGCCCCCTGCGCGCGCAGCCCCTCCTGCCCCTTCCACCGCACTGCTCGCCACAGCCATTCCGCCACCAGGCGCGGCACTGGCATCGCGTCCCCCCGCAGCGCTGGATTCCAGGAGCCCGGCGGAGCGCAGCATGCGCGCGAGCCCGCCCAGCGCCGCGTTGCCGCTCTCGATCTGCGCGTTCGCAAACCCCACCAGCTGGTTCGCCCCGCGCGCCGCGTTCACCCTCGCAATGCGTGCTGCACGCGGGTTGATGCAGGGCAGCAGCGGCGCGAGGGTGGAGGCGGCGGGGGTGGCGGCGTAGAGAGCCATCTGGGCACAAGAGTCGCGCAGCATGCTGTGCACTCCATGGGTGGGCCACGGTGCACGGGGGGGCAGTGACGAGGGGTGATATTGAGATGGGAGGCGCTTGGGATGGGGAAAGGAGAATGCACGTGCATGGGGCTATCCTGGGAGGGGCATGACATGGTCACTCACACCTTTGCGGCGTCCATGCCCCCGCCCGCAAGGGGACATGAAGGCACACAGAAACGCAGGCATGAGCAGGGGGCCTGGCAGGTGGGTGCGCGCACTCACACGCGGGCTGAGGAGAAGACGGCCGCAAGCAGCCACGCGAGCAGCAGCAGGGCGAGCAGCACAGCCATGCACCTGCGGTGGGAGAGCATGGGGAGCACGGCATCAGCGGACAGGGCGAGCGGTGCAATGAGAAGGCGCGAGTAGTGAGGGGAGTCCGGGTGCGGTGAGGAGTGTGCGTTGCGAGCACTCACATGCATTTCAAATCAACAGCAAGGCACAGAAGCACAACGCAAGGCGCATGGGGTGATGAAGGCGTGATGAGAAGCACTCACAAGAGGTGCACGGGCAGGCAGCGCCGCCCAATTCTCCATGACACTGCCCCGCGCACAGGCATGCAGGGAGGGCGGGCGGGCGGGCGGGCGGGCGGGCGGGCGGGCGGGGAGGGAGGAAGGGCATGAGTAGATGGACGGGTTTGCAGGACGTGGGAGGGGGCGAAAGGGCAAGGAGGAGGAGACAGGCAGGCAGTTGGAGAGATGGGGAACAGCATGGAGGCAACATGGTGGAGCGTGGTGCGTGGGGCAATAGAGTGGTGACGCATTGTGGCATGCGGTGCCAGGTGTGCGCCCTGACGAGTGTACCCACCTCATCGCACCCACACTCCCCCCTGCAACTCTGCCGCTCTCCATGCACCCACTCCCCCACACTCACTTCCCCCAGCCCCACGCTGCCTCCCCAACTTGCCCACACTCACTCCCACACACCTCTACCTCACTCTCCCACCACCACCTCCACTCACCCAGAGCGGAGACAGCAGCGAGCAGCAGCAGCAGGCAGGAAACAGCCATGAGCGATATGAGGCTGCACGAGACACATCAAGAGGGGCGCGTGGGCAGGGACAAACGAGTGGGTAGGAAGAGAAGCAGGGCGGAGAGCAGACTTAGTGCCTTCCGCCTGCTACCTTGTTAGTTTTCACACCGACTCAGCTACAGCGAGCAATGGTTAAGACCAAAGAAGACAAAAGGGAGGAGCGGGATTCTGCAAGGCAGACAGGCAGGCGGGCGGGCGGGTGGGTGGGCGGGGAGTGGAGGGGCGGGGAGTGGAGGGGCGGGGCGAGCGGCACTGACGTGGTGGTGGTGATGGAGTAGGCCCTGTGCGCCACGCGGTCCACCGTGCCCTCCAGCTCGTGCGCCTGCCGCTGCAGGGTGTGCACGGACACCAGAGCGCGCCGAGCAAACCCCAGGATCGATGCCGCGTCCATGCTGCCATTGCCACTGCTGTTGCCGCTGCCCTCTCCCCCCACGCGCCCCACTGCATCCCCCAAGCTTTGCTGCGACCCCCCTGCTGCTCCCGTCCCCGAGCCATTGCCAGTGCTGCTACCAGCAGCAGCATTGGAGGCACTAGCACAGGGACCACCATTGCTGCCGCTGTAAACACCACCTCCACTGCTCGTGCTGCCCTCGCTGCTGCCCGCACCACCTGCGTTGCCTCCCTGCACGCTGCTCCCTGCGCCAGAGCCCTGCTGCTCCTGCGCCTGCTGCGCCTGCGGTGGCGGTGGCTGGGCGGGCAGCAGCAGGTTGGGGTCGGAAAGGGTGCGGTTGAACACCGCATATGCTGCTGTCAGCGTGTCCGACATGTGGTCCAGCTGGGGGCCGCGTGTTGTGGGGGGGGGGGATAACCATGGGTTGGGATGGGTGATGAGTGAAGGACGAGGAATGTGGTGGAGGGCGAGGAGTGGAGCAGGGCACACGTGGGGAGAGCAGCAGGTATGGTGCACGGGCTATGGCATGCGTAGCTGTCACACAGGCCGTATGGGGTGCTGCCGTTAAGTGTGATGGGGAAGGAGAGAATGACGCACGCACGGACGAGCAAGCCAGCACATGGGTGCAGCAGCAGCAAGAGCAGCAAGGGAAGGAAGCAAGCGGTAGGGAAAGGCGGTACCTTGGTGATGGCGGCAGCGATGGAGGTGATGACGGTGTCCCTGGTGTGCTGTGCTATGGGGCGGAACGATGCACTCGCGTACACTGCCACTCCCACCGCCGCCCTGCGCACCGTGGCAGGCAGGGGAGGGAGGGTGTGGAGTGAGGGGAGAGGGTTGGAGAGCAGGGTGAGTTGAGGGCAGGGCATAGGGGAGGGGTGTGATGATATGTAAGCGCAAGGGGTTGGTGGTGGGCGGAGGCAGGAATTCATGTGCAGTGCAGGCTGTGAGAGGGTGTGATGGGCCTCAAGGAAGCAAGCTGCAAGGATGTGGCGAGTGCAGCAGCAGCACAGGAACAGGTGGGCGAGGGTAGAGACAAGAGCAGCAGCAGCAAGCGTGACGCACACTCACGCACGAGTGCACCCCCACTCACACACGAGTGCACCCCCACTCACACACGAGTGCACCCCCACTCACACACGAGTGCACCCCCACTCACACACGAGTGCACCCCCACTCACACACGAGTGCATCCCCACTCACACACGAGTGCACCCCCACTCACATGGCCAACAGCAGGCCGGCAACAAGCAGCAAACACCACACCGCCTGCTTCCCCACTCGCACCCCTGTTCCCCATCCACTCTTTCCCCTTCCTTCTGCGCCCGCTCCTCCTGTTTCCCGACTCGCCCCTGTTCCCCTTGGTGCCGTTGCCACACTGTTGCTGCCAGCCGCGGTGGTGATCCCCTCCTCCCCCCCCTGTTGACAAGGCTTCTCCTCATGCCTCCATGCCTCACACTCCTCCCCTTCCCGCGGGACTGACAGCTCAGATGCCACGTGGCGAAGGCCGATTGTAGCAGAGGCAGCAGAGGAGAAAGGAAGGAAAGGCATGGAGGAGGAAGCAGATGAGGAGGAGGAGAGGGAGGAGGAGACGGAGGGGCGGGTAGCTGAGGAAACGGAGGAGGTGCGAGGAGAGGAGAAGGAGGAGAAGGAGGAGAGGGAGGAGGAGGTAGATCTGGTGATGGCAATACCGCCATCCATGTCTGGCGCGCTCACGCGTGCTGTCACGGGTGATGCTGCAGTGGGGGAAGTGCACGTGTCAACATGGGCCCAGTGAGCACCCGCGCTGCCTGCCATGGGTTTGTGGCCCTGCACGCCTGCTTCCACCCTGCCACCCGTGGCCTCGGGGGTACCTCCCCACTTAACTGCAGCACATGGCACCCCTGACTGCTCGCCTCTGCCTGCCCGCCCTGCGGTCAAGTGCCCCCTTTCCGTTCCTCGTCGTGATACCCTCCCTGCCTCCGTAGCGCCCTCCACACCACCTGCCGATGCGCCTGCTGCTACACGTGCCCTTGCGCCCTTTCTTGGCGTTGCCCCGAGGCAGCAGCCCAGTGGCCGGCGGAAGCAGAGCGTAAGGGCTACCAGCACAATTCCGAGAAGGCACAGGATAACGCCAACTGCTGCCGCCCACCACCCAGTGAACGCTGCGGACTGAAGGAAACGCGAGGGGAAGGCGGGAAGAGAGAGGGCAAGGAAAAGAGGAATGGATGTTACAAATCTGGGGCATATTTGCAAGATGGGACGTGCTTCGATGCCATGCACGTGCTACTTCAAATCAATGAGCATGCGAGGGCCAAGAGCACACGAAGCACAGACCGCCCAGTAGTGCACGTCGGTGACGTTGTAGGGGCCTCGGTAGCGCCTGAACCCGTCCATTGGGTCCACGCGCGATAAGCTGCCGCGCTGCCCTGCCGCCTCATCCCCCTCGTCCCACCCGCCGTCACCCGCCTGCACCACCCTCAGCAGGCTCAGCACACCGCCAAGCCCGCCACTCCCGTCGGTTCCCCCCTGCGTGCTGCCGGTGACCATGGGACATGGCAGCAAGCTCGCCCTCTCATCCGGAATTGCCGCCGCCTTTGCCGCTCCTGCTGCTCCCGCACCCGCATCCGTGCCACCACTATCAGGCCTGGCGGGAGCGGAGGATGCACCGCTGTTGTTGGTCGCGGGGGGAGCCGCTGTCGCCGCGGCATGCGGTCGGGGCGCGTTGGACTCGGCGGGCAGAACGTACAGGCGCTTGCGCACCCCCGCACCATGGCCCGGCGCCCCTCCTTTACCGTGCCGCCACCCCTCCCACTGGGACTCCGCTCGCTCTAGCCTGACCGTCCGCGCGCCGCCAAGCGGGGCTGCGAGCGCGGGGGTCAGAGCCAGCAGCGCCAGAAGCGCTGGTAGTAGCAGGAGCGGGGACGGTGCAGCGCGGGTGGCGCGCGAGGGGCGTTGCGCGTGCGGCAGATCGCGCCGCTCATTCCAGCTGGCGCTCCCCTCGCAACCGTGTGGTTTCCGGCTCTCTGCCGCCGCCCCACACCGCCGCGCCCATCTGCTGTGGTGCGCGGCTGGGCGATGGGGAAGCGCCCTGAAAGCACGGCCACGGCACTGCCCCACGACCACTCGTGTCTCTCCCGACGGACACCTCCTCAAGTCGTCCACAGCAAGCATCATGGAGCTGGGCACGTCTCACCGCACTGCACCTCTCCGCACTCCGCCTTGCCTCCGCCGCGGCCGTCACCCTCGCACCTTCCCGCGCCGCCCGTTCTTCTCCCCGTTTTCCTGTCGCGGCTGTTCGCCTCAGCACTTCTCGCAGAGACCTTCGTCCCCCGCGGGCTATCCGTATCCGCGCTAGATTCGATAGCTCGGATTCCCCTGCGGCCTGCTTGGTTAAAGTGATGGTGTGAATCTTAGCGGCACGTGTGGCAACGAGACGACCGTGTAGCGCGTGAAGGGAATCAACAGCGCATACTGCTGGTACAACTTCCCGCTCTTAGCTGAACTGATGGAGCGTCAGCAAATCCGGATTGGCGATCTGGCGAGGTCGAAACACTCGTCGAGTTCGCGCGAGACCAAAGGCGAGTTTCTATCGTGACCCCTAGCTCACTCTCCACCAATCAGACTGGCGTCTCGCGGCCGTGGCTGTCATCGGCTTGCTCAGTGGCGAGCGCCGTGGATGGCGAGGATAGGGCTGATGAGCGTGATTCAAGAGATTCTAACTGCGAGAATTCGTTCACCCATCAAAGAAATACTGCGCGACGCCCGTCCACGCAACGTCATCGATACACTATCATGCGTGCAGCAACTAGACACAGCGACTTTCGCAGAGTGGTACGATGAACGAGTTCTCCCTTTTCATGTAGGGAATAGCGCCTAGCGCGCGAAGACAGGTGGTCACAGACGACGAGAGGCGAGGAGGAACGAAGACAGGGGAATGAGAATGATTGACACCAGGAGGTGACCATCGAGATTGGATCAGCGAACAGGCAGACAGCCTGCGACGAGCTGTCGTCCTTTCCCGGAGAGAGCACCACGGCGTGCCGCATAGTCGCTATGACGTAAGAAGTGGCTTGTTCGAGGGAGCAGTTGAGGCGAGGGAAAGATTGGAGGAATTCGGAAGGAGCCAGCAGCTGCGGAGGCGAGCAAAGAGATTTGTGCGCGGTGACGTTTGCTAGCAAGAGGAGCAAGCGAGAAGGGTAGTGCCATGGGTGGGTGGGTGGCGAGCAGAGAGGATGAAGGGAAGATCGAACGGATGGAAGCCACTGACTGCAGATGAACGGTTGGATGAGGTGGACAAACCTGCTGAAATCTGTGTTCCTTCCTTGAATGACCCCTCAAGCGACTCGGTGACGCAAGCAATTGGGTGTGTGCTTTGGTAATGTCGGTGACGAACAGCCCTGGGCCCCTGTCTCTATCTGTCCAGCTGTGCGCCCTTGACGACGAGTCCTATGTGTGTACACGTGGATTGCACGATGGTTGCCTGCTGTCAAACCGAGGCGCGGACGATCTCCAACTGACACATGCAGCGTCTCTTCTCGATGTTGGGAATCTACCGTACAAGGGGGGAAAATATGAGAATGGTAACTTCAATAAGCCACTAACGCGTACAATAACCATTATATGGTGTTTCCGCGCGTCTGGTAACTCGCTTCCGAGTTTGACATATCAAAATAAGGTTCTGCGAGGATGGAGCTGTTACAAATAGTAATGAATGAGGAGAATACAGTGCACTCCCGACCACAGTAATGAAGCATGCAATGTCGAGAACGAATGCGAAGAGTCAGAATTGACTCGAAGCGTCAGACGGTTAGGATGCATCTGGACCGTCGGAGCAGACGGCATCGGGCAGCTGCAGGCAAGAGGGTTTTGGCAGGAACAGTTTCGTAACTGTACGGGCCACACGGTTGAGAATGCGTTTGAATAAGGGAATGTACCCCTTAGAGTACATGGCTAGTTTGGTCGATTCATATTCCCACATGTACTCTTATTTATATCGCTGTATTTGCATGTTTATTCCATCTCAAGCATTTACATTCACTCTGCTATTGAGGTCAAGGGCCCACCAACACTATCTACCTACGTGCGAACCTTCCCGAGTAGATCCTGGCAGCGATCATCGTTTGATCGCAGCATGGTATGAGAGCGGCTCGGGAATCCTTCGCACTGCCACTCCCGAAAATTACGACATTCAGAAAGTGGCGTCCGGCACACGCTCGCATGTGAGAACGGCCGGAGGATCTGGTGGACAGACTAATCTGGTGGCTGAAGCGCAACCCAACCCGGCTGCGACAAGCGAGGAAACGACGAAGTTCTCGCACAACTACTTCAGCGACTCACCAATTTGGAGCAAGGGCTCCAAACATTACGGAACGGCGATGCGGGAACCTCATCGCGACCTTCTCAACCGGCCTCAAACGGCCAGAACGCCGCCCCGCACACATTCTCCCTCGACACAAATGGATCAACCCTCAAGGCTCCCCGTCCCAGCGAAGAAGCAATTCTCTCTGCGCAATCAAGGTTTCTCAGCATATCAAAAATAAAGACAAGTACCTGCTTTGACGGCAGAGATTTCTATACCTGGAGCTTCGAACTGGAGCTCCTGCTGCAGAACGCCCAAATCTTCCATTATTTCGACGGAAGCTAAGCGGAACCCGCTGAGGGCACCGACGACGCCAGGATTCGCTATTACAACGAGTCCCTAATGGCGTACAGAATCCTCCTGCGCAACATGTCGCCGGCGGAGCAGCTGAACATCCGTTCGTACAAGACATCGGCTGCTCCAGCCCTCGACGCTTGGCGCCACCTGAACGGTGTGTATCAACCGAAGGACTCCGTCTCTTCGAGCCTGTACTCCAGCAGTTACTGGAGACCAAAATGACCTCAGGGGAGAAGGTCAACAGCTACATCAATCGCTGTCGGAGCCTTCGCGACCAAATCGCGAAGTTGGGAAGTTCGATTTCGGAGGAAATCTTCGTGAACATCGTGCTTCAAGGGCTCGGCCCAGAGTGGCGGCCCTGCAAGGCGCTTCTCCGACAGCAGGGGGTCATCTCGGAGGCCGCCCTTTGCGCCGCCCTTCTCGTCGAACAACGGGATATGGATCAGCAGCGACAAGCGCCTCGACGAGAACGTGAACGGCTCGCCTTCTACGCCGACAACAACGAAGAGCGACGGCCGCGGCGCCTCTACTGCAAGATTTGGCGGATCGATACAAGTATCGATCGCGCCCTCGCCAGACCAATCCGAGCAACTGGTCCGGCCGACAAGACGCACGAGGCGACGTGCGTCCAGCCCAGGGGTATCAACCCCCATTCGCGCGTAACCTGAACCCAGCAGTTCAGCATCAGCAGCAGCAGCCGTCATCGACTGCCCCAGTACGCAACGTCACGAGCAACATGGCTATGACGGGTGAGTCGCGTCGTCGCTGCGTGCGCTCACCCTCACCTGAGCCGGCACCACATCCCATTGGCGCGTTCGCTAACAACAATCCGTTCAGCCCGCGCCACGACTTCACCGACGACGACGACCAAGACTAGAATCTTCCAGTCCTGCTGCTCGAAAGTCCCCCGCACATACCTGATATGCGGGTGACACCACTTGATTGGCTCTCGCGCGAGCAATTTCTGAAGTTCGACACTCCGCACATCGTCACGCCGCGATTGGCGCTGCTCGCACGTGACGACAACAAGCGCTGTAACACACACTTGGTACCTGGACAGCTGCTGCGGCCAGCATATGGTGGGCTCCGAGCGTTACATATCCAACGCCGTCGCCACCCCCACAGTCACCTACGTCACCGTGGCTAACAACACTCGCCTGCGCGCAAGCGCGCAAGGCATCGTCGTGCTCAAGGCACGCGGAAGCCGCACGCACATCACGCTCAACGATGTGCTGATCGTCCAGAACCTGCGCTTCAACCTGCTCTCCGGCGCACAACTCATGGACTGCGACGTTAACCTCAGCATGGATTGCGCGACGCGCGACATTCTGCTGCACAACGAATCGAAAACTTTCCCCCGCAGGCAGATTGGACGAGTCCACTCTGAAAATGGAGTGTATGTCCTGGACTTCGACATTCCCCGACTGCATTGGCGATTCGCACGAGCTAATCGATCTCGTGCCTCTGCGCTTCGAGCATATCCACCGCAGGGATTGGAAGCACCCTGACGGTAGACCGTGGGTGCCGCATTATCCACACCCACGCGAAACAGCGCTACACGATCCTGACCCAGACTCCATCTGCAGAGACTGCCATACGCCAACAGCGTCATTTAGCGTAATTGCCGGCCGCGGACTCGCCGCCATCGCCGAAGCCGAGCGCCACGCACCGCCAGAAGAAGGAATGTCCCAACTGGAAGTCACCAGGCGCGGCGTGTTCGGCACACCAGAGTACCCTCTCATCGGACCCCCCTCACAACATCTGCAAGGCATGCTGCGCGGCACTGGTGTCGACACCTTTGACGAGCATGGCGTACCGCGACCCTACACCCAGGAGAAATTTTGAAAATCTACTCCCATCGGCGTGACTCGTCGAAGCTGAGGAGCTTCGCCAGCAAAGCCTCGCCGAAGCGCGCGGAACATTCGCCTGCGGCGCATGGGGTGCTGAAGCGGAAGAAAGTGCCTCCAATGAAGGGGGGTGGGGAAGCGCTGGCGGATGGGGAACGAGCAACACTAGCGGATGGGGAAGTGCTGGCGGATGGGGAATGAGCGACACTGGCGGATGGGGAAACATCGGTGGAACCTGGGCCAACGCAAGTGGCGGATGGGGCGCCGATACTGGCACCGACAACAGCGGCTGGGGGACTTTCCTCGAAGAACAAAAGGGGGGAGAAGACGAAGCAGAGAAAACCGAGGCAACACCTGCAGTTGTTCCCCTCGGACGTCCACCGCGCCATGCCCCGCTCGCATTACCTCCTCCTAACAACCCGCCACGTCGCGACCCATGGGACACCATCGATTGGGGCAACGAACCATCGAATCCGCGCCGCACCGTCTACGGACTTGCTCCCGAGCTGCGCAAACTCACCTTCGTCCCTGGAACCATCCCTTAGACCAACATCCCTCTCTCTAAGATTTGCGACAGAAATTTTCTGTCGCTGATGCTGACTACCGCTAATGACGAACAAGCAGCAGCAGAACCTGCTCTCGTACCTGACGAAGACCCCGAAGAAGCTCGCGCGCGCTACATGCGCACCTCCGGCTTTCGCGCTGACGATGCACTCTGGCACCAGCGCCTCGGACATCCCTCGCGCGCGACGGTGAAAAACTGCATCGACGCATGCGTCTTCGCTCCTTGAGCGCTTTTGCACCCAGATGGGACCGAAGTGAGAGGCGCGCCACACCCGCGCAACTGCACCGTCTGCCCCGAAGCTGCGCTAAGCCACCAACCGTTCCCGCTGCTCGAGCCAGGGACGAACCGCTACCCCAAGCTGCACAAGGTGTACAGCGACTTCATAAACGTGGGGCACTGCGGAGTCGACGACGAAATGTACACGCTTACCTTCATCGACGGTGGAACGCGCTATGTGTGGGTCGCGAACGTGGAACCCCGCGACAGAGCTTACGAGGTATTCCGCCTCTGGCTGTCGCACGCGCAGCGGCAGTCTGGGGAGAAGCTGAAAAATTGGCAATCTGACAATGCAGTAGAGTTCAAAAGCAACCAGATGCAGACTTACCTGGCGCAAAAGGGGATCGAGCATCACATTTCTCTCCCCTACGCGCACCAGCAGCAGGGCGTAGCTGTGTGGACGAACCGCACGCTCATGACAAAGGTGCGGGCGCTGATGAAGCAGTCGAAGCTGCCGCCGATCTACTGGACCTACGCGATGCACCACGCCGTGCAGGTGCACAACCTGCTTTCAACCACCGCCATCACCTGCAACCTGTCCCCGCATGTCAAATGGACCGGGACTAAGGGGGACACATCCATGCTCCGCGTGTGGGGATGTATGGTGCAATACCGCCCGCC